CAGTAGCAATCAAAAACCCATCCTGTGTCATACAGCTCGGCCCTCTGAAGGCCGTGAGACTTTATGAGAAAGATACCTGGTGCCCCTGCAGAGCATCTGCGGCCTCGTGAGAAACATACGCTGCTCTCATCATGTATGACTGTGTATCTCAGGGCATGTGCATTTCAAAAAGAAATCAGCTGCCTTTATTTGCACAGCCAAAACTGAGAATTTTCTGTCTGTAATCTCTAGTGACATGTTTGTGTGAAGACAAGAGGACTGCAAATCTCAGCTGGATAGGCAGAGCAGACGGATGGATGGATGGATGATGCATGAATAGATGGATGGAGTGACGGACACACTCTGCTCTGCCTCGCTGAGTTCAATTGCAGGATTGCAGGTAGGACTGCCATTTTCTTTCTTTCTTTCTGATTCGCATTTCTTTTCGGTTCAGTGCTGCTCTGGGAGGCCACTGCTGGAGTAACATCTGGAGTCTTCAGACCCCCCCCCCCCATCACTATGGATGCTGAGACTGGACCGGTTTCCTCTGATCCTATGCGCTGAAGTGCCCTCTATGGACCGAGCAAACTTAGTGAATGGTGCCCACCCCTCACACGGCCGGCCCCACAGCAGCTCACGCACACGTTAAACTCAAGGGGGGAAACGCAGTACTGACACGTCGTCAGAACAGACGACTCAGGGAAGACGCGGCTGAATGGTGTCCGTCTCCCGCCGCTTCCCTGTGCTGCCTCAGGCTCTCACTCTAAACTTCTCTCTCTCTCCATTCTTTCCCCTCTCCAGCTCACTCTTCCTCTCTCGCTCCACTGCTTCTGGGTGGATCTAGAATTCAGCAAACTCCTTTCCACACTTCTCAGTAAAGGAGGCACGGATTTCCTCTTCCTCGTAGTCGTCGAAATTGCTGGTGTCGCCTGGGCCTTTACACTTGGGTATAAAGGGGGCTTCCACCTGAGAGAGAAAGAGGGAGACAGATGGACAGACAGAACATATTAGATCCTCTCAGATACTAAATAATATCATTATAGAGACACAGTGCTTATCACACATCAAAGGCTGGGGATTCAGATCCTGCTCTGTTTGGACTTTGCAGGGTTTCCTCTCTGAACTCCGGTTTCCAGTTCTGTTAATTATTGCACTACCCAAGCGCCCCCCAAAGGGTCCCCGGCGAGGTACGGCGAAGGCGAGATGAGGAGCGTCTCTGCGTGGCAGTGGGGGAGGGTC